AAGGATAGTCTTTAGGCTTAAGAATGATGATGATGGCGTGAAGATGGTGGTGATCTTATGAAATGGTGATGGACGTTTGGTAGGGTGGAAATGAGGGATAAATTAATCTTAGATCAATGATGAACCTATACTATAAAGAGTATAGACCTTTTATTTAGAGAATTAGGAACCACAAGTATCAAGAAATGGGGATGACACCATAAGTACAATATGTGATAAGTCGATAATATTGTTAAAAGAACAATTAGAGAAAAAAATATGACAAATATGTTTTAATTGAAACTAATGAGTTGATTACAACATGCTAAGGCATTGCTTATTTATAGGCTTAAAACATACTAAGTTACTATTCTTAAACAACTCAATTGAATCAAAAAGATACAACTATACACATAGACCCAATCAAACCCGTAAAATCACCAGTTATTATTAAAAAACATAATCTCACATAAAATTATGGAACAAATTAAAATCATAGATGAAAAATGAAATATATAAATAATATTTACATATTTTAATAAAACTTACCTAAAAAATCTTGTTTGGGAAGCTTTACTTTGTTTACTCTAAATATCTATTTTTTTTCTCAAAGAGAATACATTATTTTGCACAACTTTTTTTATATGATAAGGTGTTAATGCCACTATCACCCTCTTCGACCAATAATATGCTATCCCTCATCTGTTTCACTGTTCGACCAATGGAAGTACATGCAGCCGTGGAAGTTGTTTGGGGCTGATGAAAACATCCAAGAGTTATTCATTGTGATGGTCGAATCATCAAATTCATCCACAACAGAAATTGATTTTAATATTTTCTCTTCTTCTTCTTTGTATCATAGTATGCTTTTATTAAAGGGTAAACTAAAAAAATGGTCACTAATATTTGTGTGAGCTTTTGATTTCCTATTGAAGTTTTAAAAGCAATAAATCAGTCACTAAAATTATCAATTTGTTACAAATTGGTCACTTGGCGTTAACACCGTTAATAGGTGTGACGGAAAGCACAACTGGAGCATTAACTACTTATTTGGATCACCACGGTGGAGATTCAAATGCCTTTAACAGTCACCTCTTCGCATTCAAATAAAAACCCAATCCGTAAACTTAATTTATCTTATTTTTATTTTTATCTTTTTTTTTAAATTTATCAGAAAATTCCAAAAAAATCCAGTTAAGGTGAAGATGGAAGACTCCATGAAGAGCCGACTAATAGGGGGAATACCCTGAGCGATTGCTCATGACCCTAACTTTTCAATTTTACTTTTTATTTTTATAGTTTAGGCCCTTAAGGTTTCAATTCTATTTTTTTATCTTTATAATGAGACCCCTAATTTTTTGTAATCTCACTTTTTTACTTTTATAATTGAGACTCCTAATTTTTTCAATCTCACTTTTTACATTAATAATTGAGGCCCCTAACTTTTTTCAATCATACTTTTTTACCTTATTGAGCGAGGTCCCTAATTTTTTTAATTTCTATTTCTAACTTTATAATTGAGATCTTTAATTATTTTTATTCTCATTTTCTACATTTATAATTGAGACTCTAATTTTTTAAATTTCGCCTTTTACTTTTATAATTTATCCCCCTAATTTAATCATTTCTCTACTATTTATTAATGTAATATTAAATTAATTGTTGAAGTAACATAATATACTTTCGTTCTATATCGCTCAAGGCCTTGAAAATGTCTGATACGACTCTGACTCTAGGGATGTTCTACTTTGCAACTGTGGACACCCAATTAAGGTGACCACTGCTTGGGCGAATGAAAATTATCGGAGGAGGTTCTTTGGTTGTCGAAATTATAGAAGGAAGATGACAAAAAATGTAATTTTTTTTAATGATTCTCCTATGGTGCCTTGGGTTGTTTGAGTTTCAGACCATTCTTTTCTTACATTTTTCTCAGGTTGTTGAAGCGCCTAATGTCAGTTGGGAAGATACTGGAGGCCTTGAGAATGTTTAAAGGGAGCTTCAAGAGGTAATACTCCAAGGAGGTTTTCATTTCTTTACTTAACCGTTTCTCATAAAAAAACTTAACCAATGTTATATTGGTGCTTAGATTGTTCAGTGGAGCATCCTGAAGTTTGGGATGTCACCCTCAAAGGGAGTACTATTCTATGGCCCTCCAAGCCATGGTAAAACACTTTTGGCCAAAGTTATTGCTAATGAGTGCCATGCAAACTTTATTAGCGTCAAAGGTCTAGAGCTACTTACAATGTGATTTGGAGAGAGTGAGGCTAATGCCCGTGAACAAGGCACTCCAGTTTACACTTTGTGTCCTCGTCTTCGATGAACTTGACTCGATTGCCACCCAAGAAAATGATTAGGTGGTGATGTAGTAATATGGGTTTTAATGCATGAATTGTTTCTATCAAGGAAAATATGCTTGTCTTTGTACCCAGTTGGGGTTGTTTACCTTTCCCTTCCATCTTCACCTTGAGTTTTTTCTTACGGTTTTTTCAAGAAATTTTGAATAAAAGAAATAAAGATAAAATAGGATAAATTAGGTTTAGGGATTGAGATTTTATTTAAAGGTGAAGAGGTGATCGTTGAAGACATTTGACTCTCCACCGCGATGATCCAAGTAAGCAGTTAATGCTTCAACTTTGCTTTCCGTCACACCTATTAACGGTGTTAACGCCGGATGATCAATTTACAATAAATCAATAACGTTAATGATCAATTTGTTACTTTTCAAACTTTAATAGAGAAAAAAATTTACTCAAATATTAGTAATCATTTGTATAGTTTACCATTTATTAAAATTATCAATATGCAAGAGGATTTTAGAATTTATTATAAAAAAGTCTTCAAATTTTTATAAATAAATTTGTAGAAATTCCATTTCTTTTATTTCATGACTTAATCGATTTTGATTAACTCGTCCTGTTTTAAATATTTTAGGGGTACAATACATAAATGGTCCCCTAACTATAGAATGATGTTTTGATAAGTAATCTATCTATTAAAATTTATAAAATGATCCATCGACTATAAGGCGTTGCTTTGTTGAGTCCAGTGATAGATTTGAAACTATTTGCAAGGATAGACACACATATATAATAACACAAATTTTTTTGAGTGGAGTGAGCACAAATAAAATTTTGAGTGGACACCAGTATTAATAAAATAAGTAACTAATAAAAGAAATTCGGATTTCAAGATGAGAACGTGCCCACCGTCATATACTTGTTGATCCACCACTAGATGAGTCCCTCAACTATTAAAAGTTACAAAGGGATCATACGACTATTTATATGTTCCAAACTCGTCTATTTTCGTAAAAAATTTACAATCGTCTGAGCTGAATGTTAACTTGCTGACTAAGATATGATAAAATATGATCTTAGAAGCGTTTGAACAAAATAGTCATTTGAGATTTTAAGATCATATTTTATCATATCACATTCAACATGTTAAAATTCAACTCAGACGATCGTAAATTTTTTAACGAAAATAGACGAGTTTGGAATATATGAATAGTCAGGTGATCATTTTATAACTTTTAATAATTGAGCGATTCAAAAAAATAATATCTTATAATTAAAAGACCATTTTATAATTTTTAATAGATAAAAAATTAAATAAAATAATACCCTCTAATTGAGGAACTATTTGTATATTTTACCCCATATTTTATAACCTAACGCAAAAATGATAGAAAAGCAATCATTTAGCTAATTATAAATAAACGCAATTAAAGCTTTACGGACTCGTGTTCCGTTGCAATTGGCTTTCCACGTTACCTTTCCCATCTTACCCTTTCGCTTTCTCTTCCACTTTTCTTTCTATGTTGTCCCACTTTTTGCCACGTCATTGTCTGTCTATCTTATTCATATATGCGCATTACGCAGTCCACTTCCCCCACATTCCCTTTTAATCAAACGCTCCAAATCTATTTAGGTGGGGATTGGTTCGCAAGAATCTCTTAAAATTAAGGAGAATTGTAATATAATTTCACCGTTTTTTTATGTTTGGTTCAAATTTTTAAAGCGAATTGGAATCACTCATGATTTTAACTTTTCATCAATTCAATGATGGAATTCAATTCCCTTGTTGGAGGGAATTGAAATTTGACTATACTATCATCATCAATCTTTTGATAACTTATTTATATATTGAATAAAAATATTTTATTATTATTTCAGGTCGGGTTGAGTTTCTAATTTATATATTCGAGTTGGGTCGGGTGAAACTTTATTTTGGTCGGGTCGGTTTTTTTAAGTGTGATATTCGGTTCGGGTCGAGTTCGGGTTTAGGGTGAAAAATACCCGACCCGACCTGAAAATATATATAATTTTACCTTATATATTTAGGAATAATTACAATAATACTCCTCTATATATAATTTTTTTCAATTAAGTCACTGTTTTTATTGAATAAAAATATTTTTTTTATTATTTCGGGTCGGGTCATTTTTTTAAAGTGTGATATTCGGGTCGGGTCGGGTTCGGGTTTAGGGTGAAAAATATCCGACCCGACCAAAAAAATATATATTTTTTTTCAAAAAATATTTTTTTTATTATTTCGAGTCGGGTCGGATTTTCAATTCATATATTCGGGTCGGGTCTCAGATGAAGGTTCCCTTGTTCTCGGGTCAAGTCGAGTAGACAAAAAACCCGACCCAACCCGACCCATGACCATTTCTAATTGGGATGATTTTAAAATAATCAATCAATAAAATTAAAATTTAATATTTTTTAAAATTTTATAATATATTATTACATGTAATTTATAAAACAAACTAAAATTAAACAAAAAAAAGGGTAATCTTATCATTTTACATTACTGAAATCAAATTCATCTGACATATCTACGAATCAAACAGAATATGAAATTAAATTTTGATTCAATTTTCTGCCAACCAAACATAATATAGAATTGAATTCTAATTTATCACATATTCTAATTTACTCATAAACATTCTAACGAACCAAACTACGCATTAAATTATGCTGTTGGAGTTAGCCACTCCATGATTCCCCAATTATATTATATCTCCTAAAAATTGTCTGAAAAATAAGACACAACAGAACCCAAAGCAAGACCGTAATTCAGAAACCCTCTCCTTTGCCCCTTCCCCTTTGGCGTTATGTTAATTTGTATCAGATCCTTGGTGAGCTTAAGTCTGAGCCGTTGATGGCTATCTCCATCGTCATCACCCACCGTCTGATTGGGTCCACTTGAGCTTTTGCTTGCCGTTTATGGAAAGGGATTCAATAAAAAAAAAAGAAGTGGAAATACGGACGGGTGAAAGGGGATTCAATCTGAAAATGTTCTCTGGAAAATTGAAAACCCTAACACCAAGTTTGTTGCCAATTCAGATTGTTGGAGAGAAGAGAGCTATATTGGGGTTTCTCTAGTACTTATCCTTTTTTGTAAATTTTTAATTTAGAAAAAAGGGTTTCTTGTAAAAAAAGTGATTTTTTTCTGGGTTTAGGAAATATGGAGAGCAAAGAATTGAATTTGAATAAAGAGTGTAAAGCAGAAGGATCCGGAAATGGGTTTATAGATAGGAGCAAAGTGAGGATTTTGCTATGTGACAATGATACCAAGAGTTGTGAGGAAGTTTTTTCACTTCTGTTGAATTGTTCTTATCAGGGTATACTTCACTCCTGTTATTGTTTATTTTTCTTTTCATCTTTTATTGAGTTGTATTCTATTTTTTTTGTATCTTTATTTGTACTTTTTTATGTTGATCTTCTTGTTGTTGTTGGTTTGTGTGTTGGATATTGGGTATTTGAAATCAAATTCCATGTTCTATATCTGTAGACTGTTTTGCATTAATTTATTTGTTGCTTTGATTTTGTCATTGTGTGATCTAGATGGTATTTGAAGTGTAGTGGATGATACTGGTTGAATTTTAATTTAGAAAATTGAGCATACGCTTATTTGTTTTGTTTCCCCCCCCCCCCTGAAACTAGTCTTCTGTTTTGATTTGCTTTGATCCTGGGAAGCTCAGTTTTCATCACTTGATAGAAAGGATATTTGGGCTATACATTTAATTGCCTTGCCTGGTCGTCTTCTAGATCCTTGATTCTCATGCTTTGCCTTGTAAATAAACAATTGTGTACAGCCCCAGTGAGATTTTTGTAGGATGTGGATAAGAAATGAATTCTCTTGTGAGGAATCACCAGTTAAAGAGAAATTGGAACATGTTATGTTTGTTTGGACCGGGGCCGAGTATGTTATACCTAGAGCCTTTTGATACGTAGAATAATAAGAGTAGAAGAAGAATGAAAATCACATGGGTGACATTATCAATTGAGTTTTGTTCCCTTAGTGACAATCCGCTGACCTAAATAAGGATTTTCATAAATCTTAGAGCATGTTTTCGAGTCCTGGTTTAGGTTGCTTCTACATTTTGTAGCAATCAACTATTTAGCTATCTACCATGACTATATATTGCGTTCAGGAGTGTTTTTTGTATGTTTACTTTTTGAAGTAACGTGTCAGCTTTATGATTATGCTACTTTTACAGTGACCTCAGTAAGGTCTGCCAGACAGGTTATTGATGCACTGAATGCTGAGGGTCCCGAAATTGACATCATACTTACTGAAGTTGATCTCCCAATGATCAAAGGAATGAAGTTGTTAAAGTACATTACGCGCAATAAGGAACTGTGCCGCATTCCTGTTATTAGTAAGTTTGTCATGTACCTTCTTTTCTTCAGCCATCCAACTTTCGTAATTTTCCTTTTCGCGTTTGTGGACTGATTTTTTTATATATTTTTCTTTCTTTGCTATGATAAGTGATGTCGGTCCAGGATGAGGTCTCTATTGTTGTTAAGTGCTTGAGGCTCGGTGCTGCTGACTATCTTGTCAAGCCTTTACGAACTAATGAATTATTGAACTTGTGGACACATATGTGGAGAAGGCGGCGCCAGGTTTGTGGACCTTTTTTCTCCTATATTATAAAATTAGATCCATTCCATTGGACTGATAGTCCCATCAACAGCCATTGCTTCACAGGTTTATTTTGTATTATGGGGATGTGAATCAATAACCATTTATACTAACTAAGATGCTTTCTCTGGCAGCTTGGTCTGGCGGAAAAGAATATCTTAAACTGTGAATTTGATGTAGTGGCATCAGACCCTAGTGATGCCAATACAAACAGTACTACTTTGTTCTCGGATGACACAGATGAAAGGTCCCGGAAGAGCTCTAATCCAGAGATGGAAGTTTCAACACATCAAGAAGATGAAGTGAGTATTGATGTTGGATTGCGAAAAATGTGCTATTGTGCATTTAAAATTCAGGAAAAACATGTTTTTACTCTACAGTATGAGATACTGAACTCTTATGCTATAGTAAATGACATTGCAAATTGCAATTATGTGGGCATGAGAGTTTTATTCCACTATAAGTAATAATTGCAATTATGTGAGCTCTAAAAAATTATATTCATTTGTCTGATTTCTGCATACAATATATTAGTTGAAGACGTGGAATTAGTTATTCAACTTGCTTAGTTGCAGTGAAGTGATTGTATCTTCCAAGAATGAATAGAATAAAACTACAGCCAACCCCCAGCTCCTCCCTCAAAAAAGGGGATGGGGTGATAAAGTAAAATACTTGGAGTCATGTTCCGTGGATTTTCAATCCGGGTATATAGACATGCTATCCTCTCTTATTTCATAATCATATGGGCTGCTTAATGTCGCCCCAGCCATCTTTACTAAACTGATTTGAAGGAATACTTCAATTGCTTCATATTGATCATATGTTATTCAGAAAGAAAAAAAATGTAGCCCCGTATATTATATTTTACCTTGGATTTTGAACTCCATAAACATGGTTTCAGCCTTTTCTGATGCTATTGATACCCTATTCTCAACTTTGAGAGGTTTAAGACATGAAGCCTTTTGTTAATGTCCCACATTTCCAGTTACGCTCTTAGTTGCTTGATTTTCGTAGTGATTTGATATTTATTCATTTACCATATAGAATTAACTGAACTGTAGAGAGCAACCTATATACCAAAAAGTAGAGAAATGATGTTCATTGATTGAGTGGGAATTTAAGAAATAACCTTCTTAACATATGATGGCATTCCCTCCTTCCTTTCATAATCCATTTGCATGAATTCAAGCTTGGCAAATAACGTTGTGTATCTTCTGTCTGTAATGATCTTAACTGAGTTTAGAAAGCAAAACGTGTGGTTTAAGGGTATTTTCATTATCCTCTTCCTGTTTGTGTTGTTTCTGTTAACATTATTCCTTTGTTCATTTTATGAAACCATCTGTGCCTGAGTTATTATTAGTATTTGGAACCTGTAAATCATAAGATATGAATATGATCTTCGCAGAATTTTAAATTATAGGCATGTTGTTTGGGGGGGGGGGGAAAGAAATTACTGTATGAAAAGGGAACAGAAAAGAGAACTAGCCTTGACCACACTATATCCAACACCTAAAATATGAAGTGTTTAATGAATGTTTTTATACGTGAATGCTTTTTGTCATGAATATGTGTGTTTAATATGAGCAATAAATGTAGCAAACTTAACTTGAGAAATAAATGAATTATTGTGGTCAACCTTTGGGCAAAATAACTTGAGAGATTCTATGTGCTAAAAGAAGCAACTGGCGTACCAAATTGAAATTCAAAGGAAAATGAAAATTATGATTTCAGATTTGCGAAGTCTCAAACTATTTGGTCCTCCATAAAGATATATATGATTATTTAAATTTGAAGAACTATCATCAAGCATGCTGTTTGATGCTTTCTGCAAAACCCGGAGGCAATGTTTGTGCATGTCATTGTATGTACTTAATATTGGAAATGTATGGTTCATCTATGATGTTACAAATCAAATGTATGGTTTGTGTTCATACAAGTATTTTTCCTCTTTCAGTCTGCTGCTGTTACTGCCGAGCCTCCTCAGACTGAATCACCAGAATGTCGTCCTGATGTTCCTGGAATAAGTGATCGCAGAACAGGTTGATTTCTCTTAAGCTGCTTCTTGCATCAAACTTGTTCGGTTGTCCCTTGAATACGGCTTGTCTTATTGTGTTAAGCTTACGGAATTCTCTTCTATCAATGGATAGCTATTCTTAGGAATAGTGTGATATGGCATCATTTTGTCTGTCTATTTTCATGTTCTATAAAAAAAAACAATGTCTTTAGTTTGAAGTGAGTTCGCATAATGTTTTGTCTATGAATGCACAGGATATTATCGTGGTCTACCATTAATCAAATCAGACGGTTTTTCTTTATCTTTGAATCGAAATTAGCATTCAAAAGAACGAGTACTGACTTCATGAGATTCTCTGAAGTTTGATACAGGATTTAATTCAAGTTTATTTGATGGCTAGATTTTTATAACACTACATGCATGCTTTGGCATTCGAGGCTTCTCAAACGGATACTGGCTTGTTGATTTACATGCTTGAACCATAATTATTGCTGAAAAATCTGTTTTCTCTCGAATTTATAGTTCATTACAATGTGAGTACTGTTTATCATGCCAATAACACTGCAATTCAGGAAAAGCATGACTGGTTCTCTTCTGGTTTCCAACCTTGTTCATTCTTGGATTTCTCTAACTATAGAGTTGTTGGAATGTTTATATTTTGCAGGGCAATTTTCATCTGTCCCGAAGAAGAGTGAGCTAAGTATCGGTGAGTCATCAGCCTTCTTTACTTATGTGAGGTCAAGTGCAGTCAAAAACAGCAGTACTCAAGTGGCGTCCTCTAACAATGAAAACGCTGCTCAAAATAAGAGCATTGAAGAGAATCTTCCACAATCATGTCAACAAGTGGTGAATGACACCCTACCTGAGAATAGTGAAACATGGGAAAACAACTCTCTAGGTGACGATTTTCGTAGCAGCAGTAGTATTCCAGATTCCCTTTCCTTGGAGAGGTCCTCTAGTCCCATGTTGGTGGAATTTAAGGAACACAAGTTTTCTCATTCTCAGGTACTTGTGCCTCCAAGAAGTGAACCTCAACATGATGCCTCAGGGTTACCTGCACAAAGTGCCTATCTACACTACATGTCTGGAGTTTTAAATCAAGTTATGATGCCATCATCGACTCAGTTGTTTCAGAACAATCTCCACGACCTTCATAATCATACAAGCTCTGCTATGATGCCTCGTTATAATCATCTTCAACAATGCCTTCCCCATCCTCATGTAAGCAGGATGGCACCGTTTCCATACTATCCAGTTAATATGTGTGTGCAGCCTGGTCATCCACCAACTGGTCACATGTGGTCATCGTTTGGGAATTCATCTTCCAGTGAAATGAAACCAAGTAAGGTTGACAGAAGAGAGGCAGCGTTAATCAAATTTCGGCAGAAAAGGAAGGAGCGGTGTTTTCATAAGAAGATCAGATATGTTAACAGAAAGAGGCTAGCTGAAAGAAGGCCTCGAATGAGGGGACAATTCGTGAGGAAGAACGGTGTAACCGTTGATCTCAACGGCCAACCTGCTTCTGCTGATTATGACGAGGATGAAGAAGAAGAAGAGCAAGCATCAAGGGATTATTCACCTGAAGATAATACTTCTGGATGTTGATGTTTGCTATCATACCCATTCGCCGTGTTTTTGTTTGTGCGTGTACCTCTTCTGGTTTTCACCATGGATGAATGAGAACTAGTTGCAGTGTACCAAATATCAATAAGGTGAAACAGGGCAGTTCGATCAGGGTGCCTAAGTTAACCCCGGCTTACCTTATTCACGGTGAAACCGGCGGGTTACAACGAAATGCAAAACATTGGAGCAATTTCTTTGTATTGGTGTTGCTCTTACTTCCTGTTCCGGTTGCATTGAAGTGCAGAGTTGGTGATTATTTATAGGATTCAACGTGAAAAAAATAGCACAAACAAGAAATGGATCCTTGTATATTTTTTCTGTAGGTGGCCGCTGGAATTTGAATTTCAAAACATATTTAGAAATATGACATGTATGATTATTTTTCAAATCCTTAAATCTGATAGATATCTATATAGAAATGATTTTTACTTTATTTTTAAATTAGATAAATTTATAATTTTAGTCTTCTGATTATATATTAAATTTGAATCTTAATTAATTATTTATAATAGGTTTGATATAAAAATAAGTGTACAAATCATATTATAAGTTAGTTTTAGGTGTGAATTTTTTTTTGTAAACAGTATTATCGCAAATCATCTCTAACCTAAAATCCTAAATCACAACTCAATCTCATCTCCATCTCTCACTCTCTAGGTGACATCCGTCCCCATCTCCGACAAAATCCGTCTATTTCCATCTCTCAGAGCAACCCTCACAACCATTCACGGTCAGAAATGGAAAATCAACCACCGAGGGTTAGTTTTTTTTAATCTCTTATTTTTATTTTGAAATTTTTGTATTATTATTAGATTTTTCTTATATTGATGATAAATTTACTGGTAATTTCAATATATATATATATATATATATATATATATATATATATTAACCATTTCACTGAGATTGCTTAGTAAATTCATTCGGTTGCTGCCAATACTGCTAAACTATTTAGTCTTTAACCCTGTGAAGTTATTATTTGTCTTTGTTTTGTCTTTTTGTTGAAGAAACCCTAAATCGCAACACCAAATTCACAACGCGAAAATCGCAACACGATTTTAGTTCCGCGTTGCGATTTTCATTTTCGCGTTGCGAATTTAAGTTTCAGAAACTTCTTTTTATTCTGCAAATTGAAACTTGAATGAATTGCATTACTTCAACCAAAAAATAAAGACAAATACTAACTTCACAGTGTTGCTAATTTAAGTTTCAAGAATAAACTACTACTCTTTATGTTGTCCTTGAACCTGCACTAAACCTATATGTTGTCCTTTTAAATGTTTATATAAGTTCTTACTTCTGGAATGTTATCTGATGCATTTTGTGAACTATGATGGAATTATGACTTGGGTGAATACCGTGCTAGTTTGAAACATATTTGGCTTTGTTTTCATTGTTTAATATCATGTCTGTTTATAGTGTATAATTTGTAGTTTTTGGTATATCTAACTGTATGTTTATTGTTTTTGTAGAATTTTTTTGGTTGCATTGACCTTAAGGAATAAATTAAGCCTAGCCACTAAAATTGCGTCGACGCTTACACCTCTACAAAGAAAATTGTTTGAGGATACTTGCTTCGGGCCATGGCTGAAAGTGCAACATACGGGTGGAGATGCTATGTTGACACATTTGTTTCTTCAGACCATGACTAGCGATCTACCCGAGGGGATATAACGTAGTGATGGGGAGATATGGTTTCATTTTCCTCCGGTACATACATGTGTTGGGCGGGAGCAGTTTTGCTTAATCATTGGTCTACGCTTCGGACACGATGATGTAGGTCGGTACACTAGTCATATCGCCCGCCCATCATGGTTATCCCGGGTTTTTCCTGAGCTGGCAAAGTCAAAGCCGAGTTTACACGTTGACGACTTGAAGAGATTATTTGATAAAGATGGTTTTACTCGGATGGATGACCTTGATGTTGTCCGAGTATGCTATTTATTACTTTTGCATGCCGACTTTTTAGGTAAAGAGGGCAGACAACCTATCTTCGAGGACCTAATATTATTGGTAGAGGACCTAAATGCGTGGAACCTATTTCCATGGGGTTCATATCTATGGAAAGCTACTTGGAAGAAGTTGTCGTCTGCCTTTGAGGACCGGAAAAGTTTGTGGGGCGATGGTTCTAAATACACTTTGACAGGCTTTATTTGAGCCTTTAAGGTAAGAATTTCTATATAATGTTTCCAAAATTATAATTAATTATTTAACAATTACTAATGTTTGTGTATTATATTGTTTGTAGATTTGGATATTTGAGGCTTTCCCCAGCATGCGGACATATACGATAAAAAGATCAAATAATATTCTTAAGGCTATTACCTGGAAGAGGATCCGCATGTTGGATTGGGAAGAGTTACTCCCATATACGACGATGAATGATGTAAGTTAACACACAAATAATACCATATGTAAACAAGTTATTACTAGTACAAGTTTAACTTTGTTTGAGCTTTTATATTGTTAGGAGGCCAACTATCCATTACAGAGGCTGACACCCACAGAGGCTGAGCTTGCCACTGATTGGTGGCAAGCTAGTAAGCAGTTTTTTGATGGGACGGATGATGAGCACCCCCCACCTCGAGAGCCATCACCTGATCGGGCCGATTCTACAGCTCGACACCCGGAGCCATTACCTAATCGAGCCTCTTCTCCACCTTCACCATCACCATCACCTATTCCATCACATCATCGAGCCTCTTATCCACCATCACCTCATGATAGGCGACCGACAAATAGGCCACGACATTTATCTCCCTGTTCTCCACCTCCATGGGATGAGTTAGGGGAATTACGTGATGAGGTTTGTGCTTTGCGTCATGAGGTCGGTACTTTACGTGAAGATAATGGTGCATGGCGTGATGAGGTTCGATCTTTACGTGGTGAGGTGGATTTTTTACGCGATGACAATGGTGCGCTACGCGGTGAGGTATCTACTTTACGTGATGAGGTTGCCGCTCTACGCGAGATTGTTTCATTGTTGCAGAATGAGGTTCATACTCTACGCAATGAGGTAAATTTGTTTAATACTATACTAAAAATGCAAATAACCTTTTTTCAGCATTATATATTTATTTATTTACTGATTTGTGTATTAATTTATTTTTAGTGGCCCGATAAGGTAGATACTTTATGTCGGGTTTTTCTTGCACGATGGGGTTCACGCATCAGACGTCGTGCATGTGCCATTACGTCTCCATTCACCCCACTAGTGCCAAGACTCCGTAAGAATAAGCCTGATGCACCTATCATCATTCAAGAGGCACCTTCTATCGTTCAAGAGGCCCCTCCCACAGTTCAAGAGGCCCCTGTTATCGTTCAAGAGGTCCCACCCACCGTTCAAGAGCCCAATTCACATGGCGCCATAAGTCGATATATTGATAACCCCCCTCCCATGCTCGATATGATGGATGCGAGTTGGATTTCGTATGTGTTACCGGCCAGTACCATTCCTCAGCAGGTGAAGGAAACACTACCAGACACAATTACGGATAATACCCTTTGGGCTAAGACCGTAATTGATTTTTATCTACATGAGCGAAGCAAGGGTGTTATTCTGACCTATGCCAAATCGACGATGCTATTCATTTGTTTCTTGATCGGTCTTGGTGGGGTATTTTATTAGGGGTTGAAGATAATGGCTATCTCGAAGGGGTGGTAAGTCTTATATTCTTCTTATATTGCATTTTGATTATTTTTTTTAAATTATTAATAAATTCACTAATATTTTTTTATAAAACAACATATTGATGCATGGGTGTCACGTCTTCTAATAATAAGGAAATTGAGGAAAAGAAATACTCGATGGACTATTATGCCGACGCCTTTTCACGCAGCTCACTTGAAGTATCAGAGAGATGCTTCATATACGTTGGGTAATGGAAAAGCTAAACTTTATCCTGCGTAGTGGGAGGTCGATAAGGTTAGTATTTAATTTTTGAATATTTTAAAGGTTTTCATAAATTTTATTTGATGTGCACTATTATTTATGATTGCAGGTATTTATCCCTGTTTTGGAACGTCTTCATTGGCTTCTCGTCGAGCTTCAGCTCCCATCCCTGAAGACAATGGTATATGACAGCATGTTAAATTACATACCATTGTCTGATTTGAGAGATATTATTACAAAGGGATGGAGCGATCATTTGGCTAAATACTTGGATGCGATTGATTATTGGACAAATTCTGTAAACAAGAAGCCAAAGAAGTTCAAAATTACAATGATCAGAGACGAGACTGCGCCACAACAAACGCAGGGTGCCAGAGGGGATTGTGGTCCTCTCGTATGCTTGTGCTTGGAACGTTTGTCGACAGGAAGTAAACAGTATCTACCTCCCACAGATAGAGATAGAGGTGCATTAGGCTTGTGGTTTCGACATTATATGGCCAGATCGATATATACGAGATGCTGCCTACCTGCATCTGCGTGCTGAAAGTGTGCATAAACAATTGGTAAGTTTGAGCAAGTGTTGTTAATATATATACTCTTTAATTGGATTGAAAATATTTGGTTAAGTACCTAGAATTCAGTAATTTGCTGTTTGTTGGTTTTAGATGTGTAGAAAGTGTTGTTTGAGCAAATGTTTGGTTTCTGTAGGTTAATCCTGAAGTGAGCTGCATGAAATTGATGTATTTGTGTATAAACAACAGTCTGGGGTACACTTTTTTTCTTTGTTTAATTGAATTTTACATTGAAAGTTGATTTGTTTAATTGATGAAGAAATAAGATTTATTTTTTGATTAATTGATTTGTAAAAGTTGATTTGTAAAAGTTGATTTGTTTAATTTGATGTGTAGATAAGAATTATTTTTTTGCTTGTTTAATTGATTTGTAAAACTTGATTTGTTGTTTTAAAAAAATTTAATCTGCATTATGTTTGAAGGCAAAAAAGACCTGTTGAAGGTACAAATTCGCAATGCGAAAGTCAAATTTGCAACGCGAAAGTCAAATTCGCAACACGATTTTTCGGTTTGCAAATTTGACTTTCGCGTTGATCACAACATACAACATCAAGGTATATACAATATCAAACACATTTCAAGCTATAAATACAAGCTAAGGACACTTG